CGTCCTTAGGGACGTACGTCAAAATTGGAACGATACAGAGACTCGAGAATTTTTTTATTTTTATTTTTAATAGAGACTCGAGATTAACATGGCCTCTGCGCAAGGATGACGCGCATAAATCGAGAAATGCTCCAACTTCAAACAACAACAACAACAACTGCCCTAGCTCAGTTTGTAAAACACCCCGGGGGGCAAGTCCCACTAGCAGCGTTGAGCTACCTCAGCGCCCGAATCTGGACGCTTTTGCGGAGATGTGCAGAAATGGTGTCGAGTTTCCTGAACTGCACGTCTCCACAAACACGTCCAGATTCAGGCGTTGAGGTAGCTCAGCGCTACTAGTGGGACTTGGCCCCGAAACTGAAAAAATACAGACAATACCTTTCTCGGCCTTTTGGCTAAGATCAAGTGTAGTATCTGTTCTGATCAGTTTAATATCTGATCCGTGGTCCATCGGGCCGCATTTCAAAAAAAAAAAAAAAAAAAAAAAAAGCGCCCCAAAAAAAAAAAAAAAAAAAAAAAAAAAAAAAAAAAAAAAAAAAACAGACCTGAGTTCGAACTCCAGAGTGAGAGCAGAAGCAGCAGGCGAGTAAAATAGTGCAAATTTGACTTGCCTACCCTCTTCACCCGAATAGAACGCCCGGTCATCATAGCTGTATTTGGTGCAACTTTCAGTCTAGATGCAGTGACAATGACCGGGCGTTCTATTCGAGTGAAGACAGTAGGGCCGGTCGGTTCAGATTATAATGTCTCAAGGCCGTTGACGAGAAAAAAAAAGGAAAGAAAAGACAAAAAACGGAAAAAAAAACAATAAATAATCTACAATAAAACGGGATCAGTCGGGATCACATACCACGCGGGTGATTTCCTAAATCCCGATCCCATCCGACTTCGAAAGTCATGTTGCCGTTGGGTCGGGACAGTACAGAGATGGGTGACGGCCCAGGAAATACCCACGACGGCAGTCATTCAAGTCAAATGAACAAATCAATCGAACACAAAAAAAAAAAAAAAAAAAAAAATCAATCGAAGGCAGAGACAGAAAACGACATTTTCAGAAAAAAAAAAAAAAAAAAAAAAAAAAGGACACAGACGACCAAGTCCTCCGTTTCCTCGACCGTCTTCTCCCGAATAGAACGTACGGTCATTATGTAGCTGTATTTGGGGCAATTTTCCGTCTAGATACAGCGGGAAGTACCGTTCGTTCTATTCGGGGGAAGACGGTAGCCTCCCTCTCGTCTTCGTCCTCGACTTCCAACGCTCTTCGTGCTGCACCTTCACTACCATCTTCCCCCGAATAGAACGTACGGTCATCATAGCTGTATTTGGCGCAATTTCCGGTCTCGATACAGCGAAAATGACCGTAAGTTCTATTAGCGGGAAGACGGTAGGTTCATTGAATCCTTCTCCCCTCCCTCCTACTCCTTTGTCGCATGCTTGAGCGCTCCTAATTGCTGTATCTAGACAGAAAATTGCAGCAAAATACAGCTATAATGACAGAAAAAAC